AGGTCCAGTCCAGTCACCAGCCCAGCAGTCGAGACTTCTATGACCCCTTTAATCAATTAATTATTTGGTAAATAAAGTTATGTGTAAATGATGTGGCTCAGGTGTCGTTGGAGTTGTCTCCATCTCCAGCTGTTCCTGGAGAGGAGATCAAATTGCAACTAATGGCTCAGCCTGACTCCCTGTGTGGTATCAGTGCCGTCGATCAGAGTGTCCTCATTAAGGAACCCGGGAAGACTCTGGATAAAGAAAAGGTACCAGCTAGCAACCTTTATTAGTCCACACACAGACCAAAAAAACACTGAACAATTTCAGATTTTGTCTTTCAGATCTTTGCCATGCTGCCTGTTAAAAAAATATCACATATACCATACCAAGTCCAAGATCCTAAAGAATGTAGGACATATGTTTTACCACAGCCAGGAACTGTTTTCCAGGTACTAAGCATAAAGCACCATACAATACAAAGCATATCAATTAAACACATGTGGTCTTTTAAAATATTGCTACAATTACTTTTTGTGTTGTCCCAAACTGTGCAGAATGTAGGACTGAAAACAGCAACAAATCTGGTAATGAGACTACCCATTTGTTTAAGGTCCAGGGAGAGATATTATGATCGAGGCCATCGTGGTAACCTTTGACCTGTACCTGACCTGTACTTGAAGTTGTGCAACTGGTTATTCAAATCTGCTTTGTTTTCTAAGTCTTATATATATATATATATATCTAATATTAGTACCAATGTCAGGACGTGTTAATGTTGGATCAGCTGGACGAGGCCCCGTTATGGAACCTGAACCAGTAAAAACAGTTCGCACTTTCTTCCCTGAGACCTGGATATGGGACCTTGTGGAGACTGGGTGAGATGCTGATGAAAACTAGGCTGTAATTTGCAGCACTGTTGCTTTTGATTACTGGCCCAGGGTCTTTCTGCATGGAGTTTTTATTTTCTACCAGATACTAGTATGTTCCAAAACCAAGTCCATCAGGTTGATTATTATCTCTTAATTGTCATTGCATTATTGTGTCACTGTTGTAGTAGAGTGACCAGAATTTGGTTTCTGAAAACCCAAATGAGAAAAAGAGAGCACAGATCTAAACACAGAGTCTAAGGGCCGGATTTATCAAGATCCGATTTTGCGTGCAGTAATTTGCGCTCGCAAACTGGAATTTTGCGCGAGGGGCTGAACCATAGTTTGCAGGTGATTTAACAAGAGCGATTGCGTAACTGGTGGCAGGTGCAAAACTGTTGGAGACGCCCTATTTAAATGATGGTTTTGCGCGTTTTGTG